TCCTTTCAGGGTGTCCAGCATCCTGTCTAGGCCAGGCCAAAGGGGCAGGCGCCCCTGCCTTCTGGGACTTAGCTTGGGTCAGTGCACCTGGAGGACATGTGGCCCAGGTCTGAGCGAGGCGATGGCAAAGGCCTTTCCCAAGGCCATTTTCCACACCAGGTTTAAGGATCCAGTTCCTAAACCTGCTTTTTCCCCAGGGGACCTTGTCCTGGTCCTATCTAGCCTCATCCCCCACATCCAATCCTGAGGCCTTACCCTGGAAAGTCTTATCCAGGACTGGGCAGACCTGCCACCCCACCTCCCTGCCTATCATTAGGCTCCCCCATCTGCCATCCAGAGCCTGCACCTAGGGCTGAAAGGCTCAGGTCCCAAAGACAGCGTTTATTCCAGAGTCCCACAAAACTCCCGCATCAGGTGAGGAAGCTCCTCTGGTGGTCCAATATCAGCCCCAGGCTCAGGAGCCCAAGGTCTGTGCCCCGCCCACCCCTCAGCCCATCTGAGGGGGTGTGGCCTTAGCAGGCCAGGGCCTCTCTGGCCCGCCCGTCCTCCCCGCGTAGCATCCTTTCCTGAGCTTATTGAATATCCACGTGTCTATCCCTGGTGAAATGCCTCCTTAAACCTTGGAATTGTTCTTTTCATCAAGCAAGCAGAAGACACTCTTATCATAACTTCTCCTTCATAGGGTCTGAGTTTACATGTAAAAGTTTTGACTAGCAAATGTCTTATTTATATATGGGTGTGTATGTGTACATATAACTTTACATAATATATACTTTTCAAAGCCCATTTATCTATCTATATGTATATGTTGTTCTACTCTGTCTTTTGGGTCACTATGAGTCAGAACCCACTGGTATATATACTTCAAAAATAGAATAAGATAGTGGGATTTTCCCATGAACTTTTTGAAGTCCCCTCTTTTACTTACTTCCTGATTTATTTTTACCCCTCTTCTGAGGCAGGAGGCATCTGTTACCAGGAATCCACTCATTCAGGATTCTCCTCCATGTCTGTCCCCCACACCACTCAAAAAGGGGGGCATCGTATCCCTGCTGTTGAATGAATGAATGAATGAATGGGTGAGTGAATGAATGAATACCTTTTCACTGGCTGGGAAGGTTCTGTGAGCAGGTAACTGTCAGTTCTGCCTCTTAGTTGCCCGGTCTCTGTGGAGGCGGGCGGGTCCAGTAGAGTCAGGAGGAGTTAGGTTATCAGGTAGGTAGGTGGTTCAGGTCTTACCGGTGTCAGTCTGGGAGGGAGCCTGGTTTGTTCAAGAAACTAAGAACGCAGACAGATGGGGAGGATTAATCGTCCACACCAAGAGCCAGATGGGTGTGGGGAGTGAGGGTGGGGCAGGGGGTGGTCACTCTTATGACACCCAGATAGGAAGCCAAGAGACTCCTGAAAGGTACCCTCACACCGGTGCTGGGAGGTGTCAGGAGTGTTTTGGCACCTAGTGGCGCTTGGGGGTGGGGGAGAAGGCAGTGAGGATCAGAGAAGCCGTTCAGAGACTAAAATGGCAGGCTGCATTGAAGGGTGGGGTGGTGGGTGAGAGGGGGCTGGATGCCCAAGAAAGGGCATTGGTGGGGGCCACGAGGGTCCTGCCAGACTCAATCCCAAGCCTCGTGTGAGAGGGGGCTGGGGTGGGGGGAGCACCCAGACAGATGGCCGTGCTCTTCCCACAGGCCCAGGAGTCACAGGAATGTCACCGATAGGGTCCAGACACGCGCGCGCGCACGTGTGTGTGTGTGTGTGTGTGATGTGGTCAGGGTAGGGGGCCTGGGCCTCCGAGGTGTCCGTCTAAGAGCTCCCCCCCATTCTTACAGGCGAAGTGGGGGGCACTCGAGGCCCCAGGTCCGGGGCAGCCAATATTGAGGGTCGAGAGCATAAGGCGGTGGCCGGGCAGGGTGGGTCACTCCGC